CTCTGTGGCCAAGGCAGCCTGACTATAGTTTCAAGTCTTCTGTCTGGCCCCCTTCCAGAGGCCCCAGTACACTGCAGCTCTTCTGGGGCCACAGATGTCACAGACTCCAGAGACAGTGCTCATCTTCAAATGCCCTCTGCTCCGAGCCTCAACAGTTCAACATAGGGCCCTGTCTTTAAGGTCCACATTAGGGATTCTGATCGGATTCCATCTATCAGTATGCACAGAACCTGTCACAGCTGCTGATTGTCAGTTCTCTATTTACGCACTGGATGATATACTCGTTAAGTGCCTCTTTTCACCTCAAATACCCTAAAAGGCCTCTCTCTAAAACCATTTCAATTAGAAATTCTGCTGGAGACTGGGATGACAAGGAAGACCAGAAGGAAAAAGCATATGATGCCAAGAGTCTTTGGGAGGATTTAATTGAAGGGCATAAAATCTTAAATAGTACAAATAATCTCAACTCATTTCAGTCCAGGCCAGATGACAAGGCAAGTGAGCATGAATTAAAATTACAGATAAACACATCGGGAACAGATGTTGGCAAGAACTTTTTTCCCCAACACCGACAGTCTTAAAAATGCCACAAAAAACCCTCCAAAGTCACTGGCAGCACTGAGGATACAATTAGAGCCAATTAGGAGGGGAATACAACCCTGAGGTGTGTGTCAAGAATTCCGGAAGGTGTCAAATGATCAGTGTGTTTTCCTGGAGCAATTGGAGGTCAAGGTTGTTAGCTCTTTGCCCCTTAACTGAGTACTCTTTGCCCATCCATGAGTACTCTTTTTTCTGCTGAGGCTCCACTTTTATTACTTCTTCCAGGCAGGAGCATAGATGTCACTCCGGCACCCACTCCCCCTTCTCTACCTTATGGTCTCACACTTTACAGGGTCAGGCTCCTGCTACAGCCACCGCCTTAACATAATGATGAAGGTAAGGAAACAAATTTCACGCTGCCGGCACCAACTGACCTGAAGCATTTGAGAGCAACGGCAGCAGTGAACAGGGATGTTCTGGGTGGTACTGGTGGTGCTGGATATCTTGGGCGCCCAGCAACTGCAAAATGGCCTCTTCCTGCCAACGTCCATCATTTTGGTTCTTTTGGTGTGTATCTTCCCTAACTGTCCTTTTGTCCCTTCCTTAGGGACATCCTGGGTGCAGCAACAGCCACGTGGATTTAAGCACCAATTCAGCTGATTACCTTTATTTCCCTTGCAAGGGCCGAGGAATTAGTTACAGCATTTGGCCCATGACCAAGATTTATAGAGACAAAGTGCCCAAGGCCCTAGTCTTGATAATAGTTCTGTTGGTACAGTGAACATCGTCAGTCAGTCAGAGCCTGTTACTCTGAACCGTACTGTCTTCAGTTTAATCCCCACAAAGAGAAAAACTCAGTGAAAATCTTCGTCTCTTTCTTTGACTAGTCAGGGGGCCGAGGGCAGTGGCAAAGTTAATAACCATATAAGAAAACAGGCGCGACTCAAATGAGTTTCAGAATCATGTCATCAAGCTCTAACTTGAGCAAAATGGTTAGAACTCAGCAAAACAGGTTCAACATTATTTCATATGTGAAATATGCAGGGCCTATGGAATACCTGGGACTGAAAACAATTTCCTTCGAAGTCACTGACATGGCAGTGACAGAATGATCCTATGTAGTAAGAACGTATTTTCACCCACCTCATCTCCCCCATTTAAAGAATTCATAAAATATAACCATTAAAACAAATGTTATTTTAAAAGTTAAAGCGCTCTATGCAAAAAACACTCTCTGTGCTTTCTCAAATTCCCAGTCTAAACCTCCTCAGGTAGGACAGCTCATCAGAAGCCTAATGAAAACAAACCTCAGGAAACTTCTATTCCCTAAGCACACCCAAGGAAGGTTCAGACTCAGATTCCTAAGGAAAGATAAGCTCTCGTGGGGTGATTTCCCTCAGACTAATCACCTGACATTCACCGTAAGACAGAGAGAGATGATAAATATGCTAATTGAAGGGCCTTCATGCAGGTATTGAGAGAGGCTATAGCCACTTCAGTTTCTGTAATCAATAACAGCAGGGTGGCGGAAGCCATACAGCAGAAATCACACCACTGTGCTCATCCCTGAAATACACATCTCAGGTCATCAGAGGCCCGCCTCCCCGCTCACTTACTGCCTGCCAGTCAGGAGACAGGCTCAATTCACAAAGCAAATGGTACAGCCTCTCCATATGCAGGGTAAGAATTACTTTACATAGAAATTGAGTGTTTGTCACCTTTTCATTACTTTCTGTTTTAGAGAGGGGAAAGGATGCAGGGAGGGCAGGGAGAAGAACTGAATAACATGCCTTAGAAGAGGCCCAATGGGCTTTCCAAGTCTTGTCAGGAACAGAAATGAACCAACCCCTCCTCTTCTTGCAAGACACAGAAAACATGAACACTGAGGAAAAGGTAAAAATAAAAGCAACTAGAAACCCAAGGAGAAAAACATTTCCCACAATATTGTGAAAGACAATTATGCTACTTCTACAGATGCTTTTGGGAAATAACTGGATTAAGAGATCTGGAATAAAATTCATGGAGAGCACAGTTTGCGACAACAGACCTTAGAGCTTACCTGAGTTGCCTTTTTGTCAACCACCATATAAATTTTGTGTTTTCATAATAAAGAGAATAACCTAGTGCACAGAAAAATACACTTTTCTGACTGTCTGCTGTGCAGAGCAAGCCCCAGCATGTAGAGATGTTCTGGGCTCTGCTCTACTGTGGGTCAACAGAGGTGCTGGGAAGAACAGTAAATGGTGCTGAAGAGGGCCTTTGTCTAAAATAATGATTTCTTCATTCCAGTGTCTGAACTGTGAGGTGGGAGTAAAGAGGAGAAACCTAAGAAAATCCATATACCCAACTGGGTCCATTCAACTCTTTCACCACCGTATCTTTCCTGAAGACATTCTCGCATTCCTGTCAAAACGCAGAGGTGCCAAAGAGCATAAATAACCCTCTCTGCCACAGATCCTTCCAAAAGAACCATCAGCAGCCCCCTCCCAACAAAGCTGGTAGCTTTCTGCCTGAGAAAGCAGCACACAGAAGGAAGAAAAGCCTTGATTTCACAAATTGGTCCTAGCTATGATCTAATCTAAGAAGTTCTACTCCTACGGCCCACTTTTCCCTGAAAGCCATGTCAGGTTTGGTAAAAGTCACCAGGTTGCAGCAATGGGGCCCTGAATGAGTGTGTTTTTTGATGAGAGGTCAACACCTGTCAGCATCTTCACTGGTAAAGGTGTGCATGCCTCCATAAATTGGGTCAGAGCAATGACATTCCTCTTGAATTTCTGTGGGGATAATGAGTGATTCTACTCTAATGAAACCATCAATCAGGAAGGATTTACATAAACTGAATCTTACCTGGCACCTCAACAAATAGCAAGTGATGGATTTTGCATTAAATTGTAAGACCTACCTAACAACACTATCAGTTACCAATAAAAGCATCCCTCTGAAAATTCCAGTCAATCTTTAGGTGTTTCTAAAGCATCCTGCTGCATGGGGCGCCTGAGTGGCTCCGTCAGTTAAGTGTCTGACTTTGGCTCAGGTCATGATCTCAGGTTTGAGCCCTGCATCGGGCTCTGTGCTGACAGCCAGCTCAGAGCCTGGAGCCTGTTTCAGATTCTGTGTCTCCCTCTCTCTCTGATGAACCCCTGCTCACGCTGTCTCTCTCAGAAATAAATTTTTTAAAAAATTTAAAAATTTTAAAAAATAAAAAATAAAGCATCCTGCTGCAAATATGCTTATAGCCAAAGGCAGATAAATCAGGCAGATATTCTGATGGTGTGGTAAGCCATTATTGGCTATCAACATCCTGTTTTCCTAGGAATTTTACCAAAATACAGGTTTCTTAAGATCAAGCAAAGAAATCTCCACATAAGCTGAACATTCCATCATAAATATACAACATTTCTATAAACAGAAGATGTTAGAGGAGAGGATCAACAAATTACAGGTTGCTACCTGTTCTTACAAATAAAATTGTATTTGAATAGCCACACCCATATATCTACCCATTGCCTGTCTTACTTTTGCAAAACAGCTGAGTTGAATAGTTACAACAGAAACCTTCTGGCCCACAAAGCCTAAAATGTTGACTTCATGGCCCACTGAATAAAATATGTGCCAACTCTTATGCTAGAGAAAAAAATAGAAAAAAGTGAAATATAAGGTAACCTGAGCTAAACTGCTATGCTGTAGAAGCTTCAAAGGGAGCCAAAAAGGATCGATTCCATGGGTACTGGAGAATGTGGAGAAAGATATGTGGTGGATATAGTTTCCAGATAATAGATATGAGTTTAACTAGATATGTCATGTAAGATTTTGAATAAATTTTAGGTTCTCCTAATCCATGTAAATCTGCCAGATGAGATCTTTCAGAGAGGAAGGGATAGTTGACCCATGGTTTAAAGACAAAATTTGGGAAAGAAGAAAATTCCGGGAAAAGTAAGCAAAACAATTGCTTCTCCAGAATGAATCAGCAATTAGGGGTTACTTAGCTAAAGCTTTTTTTCCTTGCATGGAGTAAAAAAGTTGCACATAATCCTATCAACATGGATCCACCAGAAGTTCTTGTCTGCTAGATATAGGAATTGGTCCATGGGAAAGGGCTGAACAGTCTGCTTACCAATGCCACTCATGAGAAAAATGTAATAATGATAATGGTTATGATAACCATTATCACAAGAACTATCATTCTTTTTATAGCAACTGTTACTTATTGAACATTTATCACATGCTGGGCAGGATGCTAGGTACTTAGGCATTTTTGCATTTAACCTCCCAGCAGTCCTATGAAATCGACTGTTATTACCCTCAGGTTTACAACTGATCAGACCGTGGCTGAGAAAGGTAAATAGGACATGCATGTTCCCAAACAGCAGAGCAGAAGTTTTGCACCCATGTTGTGACCGTCACACTATCCTAAGCCCTCATCCCATCCCGCGTGGGGCCCCACCACCAGGCCCACTCACCTCGACAGACACTGCAGCACTGATTCTCTGGGAGAATGTGGTCCTTTTCAGAGCAGTTCAAAGGAGGACATGCTTCTGTAATTTTTACTAAAACTCCACTCTGGAAGCCACATAATCAGGAAACAAAAAAAAATAACATTTCTTAGTTGATGACACAGATATCAAAATGCTCGTTAACAGCCTGCAGTGATAACAAGTTTCAATAATTAATAGTACTCCCAGGAATTCCACGATAATGACAAAGCCGCAAATTGAACTTCCAGGATGACACTTCTGGAAGAGAAGGCACATATCTTTTTCTAGGTCTACACAGCCTCAACCTCTGCAAATTTTGAGTATCTTCTATGTAGCAGAAGGTCACTCAACAGTGGTGTTGCTGGGAAGTTCGCAACTGGCTGGAGAATGGGGAGCCTCATTTTGTATGGTTTGCTGATTTCTGTGGTACAAATACCCCGACGGTGATCGATTTTGAATTACCAACAGGGTATCACTGACCACGGAGTTGGGAAGTTATGAACAATGGGCTCTCACGAGCTGCTGTATGCTAGTTTCAGTGTTCCTGGGTCACACGAACCATGAACTCAAAGATCATTTAAGACGTCTTTCTTGCCCTTGAGGAGTTCCTAGTTTGAATGCAGGATGGGGTAGGGGGCGGGAGGGGGGATGTCTAACTAGAAACTTTAATGCAGTACAGTAAGCCCTACAAAGGGTATAATGTATCATGGGAGAATGATACTGCTCAGGTGGGAAGAAATTAAAAGGAAGATGCCACATTTGAATAAAGAAATAAGGAAGAGACTTTCCTCGCAGAGGAAACAGACAAGAGCCAAGGTGTCCAAGTACGAATGAACTGAATGGAGGGTTAGGGAAATACTGGATTTCTCCCTATCTGTAAATAAAATCACTTATGATAAATTTTTAAATATTCACCTGATGAATCTTTAGGACTTCATTTCACCAAAGGTTGTCTTTGCTAACATCTGAATTTAGTTGTGTTCTGAACTCTAAATATTAGTCCACTAATTACTACAAAAAGGGGTTTGAGAGTCTTTTATTTTATATAAAATGTTTAGTTTCTCTCTCTTCTCCTAAGAGGCTGTTTAAGTCAACTCTGAAGCAAGCTTGAGAACAGGAGTCTCATTTAAGACCAAAAGGTACACTCCTCAAAATAGATAGGGGGCTGGGACGGAGCTGGCCAGCCCAGAGGGATAGGGCCAATATGGAGGTTTCCATTTCCAAGCCACTAGCATTCCAGCGGCCCCGTGATCCACTGGTTTGGCAGGCACTCTCATTTCATCCAGTACATATATTCCTAATTATGAATGTAAATAAAACTCTGAACAGCAAATATAAATTTAATTCCTAATGACTCATCATTTGGATAATTTGCTCCATGGCTTCCTCTCCCTTCTCATGATTTTCAGCCCCAATCTTCCTCTTTTCTCATGATTTTCAGCCTCATGCCTCTAATATTTCTTGCAGAATCTTCTTTTCATCCTCCTTGCCCTTTTTTTTGTTTTTATCTGTCCCAAGATATCTGTATCTCTTGCTTTTCTCCCATCTTAAAACTGGCCTTAAGACCTGAGAATACAGACTGCTGTACAGTCTCCTTCACATCTGCGTTCCATTCTCACCACTCAACCAAGGCCATATTGGGGGCCACCTAACCTCGAGAGTGAGCACTGGTCCCAGGCCAAGGTACCTTAATTTCTACAGCTGTGCCTTAATTTCTGCAACAGGGAATTGAACCAATACATATTAATAACTTTATGATCAGCAGCATAAGCTTTAATGCACAGGAAAGCAAAATGCTTACTTACTGTTAATGGCCTCTACTTCTATCTCTCAATACCAATGTATTTATTATCTACTGCCTCCTTGCATAATAGTAGTGATGGACGCTGCTGAATCCCTTTTATGAATTCTGTGTGCCTATCCCCACCGTCTGAATTCTTCGCTGCTAATGGCTCAACCTTGCCACCCTCAGATAGTACCCCTTGGGCCCTAGAGCCATTTTGCCACGCAGAGAGTAGGGAGAGTTACCCACAAGTTGCACTTCCCCACCACCATAGCCCAAAGCTAGGAAATGACAGCCACGGGAGGCTCTTTACCGCAAGGGGAGATAGTAGTGGGGTCTAATTTATGCTCCAGCACCCCTCCTGGAACCAGGGTATGTGAGGCCGTCACCACAAATCCCACCTTTGCTCAGTTCCTTGCCTTTCCCCATTCTGCATCCTCCACACCCTTACTGGTTGCTTCTGAGAGCCCTGTCTTCATCAGTCACTTGTTCTGAAATCCTTATTTCAGGGTCTGCTTTCAAGGGAACCCAAAGTAAGACAGGAAGATAAATTTCATTCTTGCTGTCAAAAAGGCAACTGTTAGAAAACAATTATGTCTAGATGGGAAGATTCTGAGGCAATTTCCTTGTTCATCCTTGTAATTTTCCTCTATATTCAAAACTTTGTATCTAGAGTATGTATTTACATTTGTAAAAAAAATATTTAAAATGCTATGAAGACTTTTTATTTATTTTTTTTTAAATGTTTTATTTATTTCTAGGAGAGAGAGAGACAGCGTGAGCAGGGGAGGGTCAGAGAGAGAGGGAGTCACAGACTGAAACAGGCTCCAGGCTCCGAGCCGGCAGTCAGCACAGAGCCCGATTTGGGGCTCGAACCCACGAACCGCGAGATCATGACCTAAGCGAAAGTCGGACGCTTAACCGACTAAGCCACCCAGGCGCCCCTGAAGACTTTTTAAAAATATAATCACTCACAAAAGTTTTTTTTCCCCATAAAAAGGGCCTCCCTTGATTAAATCAGACAATTCTAATCAACCTTTAACATATTTAATGAGCACGCTCATAATTCAAAATGTTTAAACAGAGACAAACCCCTTCACTTGATTTTGAAAACAGTATGAACTGTGATCACAGTGTCATAGTGCCACCACGTCCATTTAGTCCAGCCACCTAATTAGGCACAAAACCTTTTTTAACATTAATTTTAAAACTACTTCTAGTAAGAAGTACCTGATAATTAGTATTTTTAAACCCTCCTGATTATACCATGTTATTTTATGACCCCTAGAACTCTGTGTTGGTGGAAAAACACAATTCTTCCATTCTTTCTCATTTAGAGTGATAGTCTCTATGTCATTGGTCAAATATAAACACTTTCAAGTTCTTTGCTAATCACTGTGCTTCAGCCTGAATTTCTAACAACATAAAAACTCACATCGTTAAGTCAAAATTGTTGCTGGCCTCAAGAAATGTTGCAGGGCAGCAATAATTGGCCAAAGTGAGCAAGACTCCTGGAAAAGGTTATTCATCTTTAAACCAAAAAAAGTATGTTAACTTCTGAAAACACTTGGTGAAAATATTGAAAACAAGTGTTTATTTCTTATCTAATTGGTGTTGCTAAAGTTTTAAAATGATCCTAGGAAAATGAAAATGAATGGATCTCTGGGCAGCCTTTTGTCAAATGGGGATCTGCATTTAAACCAGAGAAGACCGAGAATTATTTAATTATTTGCTCATCTCTCCCAAGGAGAGTACTTATATAGTACCAGTGTAGATGCCTAAGAGAAAGTCAACTTCACATCCAAGAGGCGCCACTGGGCATGAGGGTTTAAATCTGAAGAAAGGCGACCTGGGAGGGACTCCAAGTCTTGGCATCCTATGCCCATCACCTCCTCTACCTGCTGACAGTCTCCATGAAATGTGTCCCAAGGCTATCCTATGAACTATTATAAAAACTACCCATTTATCAAGAGAATCAATGAGCCACAGCCTCACCAACCTGGCATTCTCACAAAGACTAGACAGTGATCATTCAATGCTTCTGAATCTACCCTTCTAAAAATTCAGAAATGAGCATGATTTCCAGATAAGTCTTACACCATCAGGAGTAGCAGTAGAGAGGCCAAAACAGGAACCTGTAAAGCTTGACAACACAGGCTTTTTTTTTTTTTTTTTTTAATTTATTTCTAGGAGAGAGAGAGAGCACGTGAGCAGGGGAGGGTCGGAGAAAGAGGGAGTCACAGAAACAGGCTCCAGGCTCTGAGCTGGCAGTCAGCACAGAGCCCGACGCGGGGCTCGAACCCACGAACCGCGAGATCATGACCTAAGCGAAAGTCGGACGCTTAACCGACTAAGCCACCCAGGCGCCCCTGGACAACACAGGTTAAATCCCAGCCCGCTCACTTACTACCTGTGTGACTGATCTTCTGTGCCTTTCTCATCTGCAAAATGGGAATAATCATAGCACCTAACAGGGGTGATTATGAGTTTTATAGAAGATAGTATGTTTAAAATGCTTTAAAAATAGTGTCTAGAAAATATTAAATGCTCAAGAAATGTTAATTACTGTCAATGACCCTTTGCCATACACAAAGTGATCATTTAGTAAATAACTATAAAGAGAAATTAATGACTTTCTAAAAGATGAAATTGTTCACACACACATATATACTCATATATGCGCCCACATACTATGTGTACAAAGGGAATAACCTGTCTGCCCCAACTTTTCTAAACTGTAAAAGTCTAACCCCAACAAAAGCAGTAAAAGAAGAACCCAAGCAGGTAGAGCATCTACACTGTGCTATTAGCAGTGCTACGTGCAGTTCCAATAGCTGGCATTTCAGTCCATGTCCATATCATCCAGAGGTCTCCAATGTTCTCTGCCTTGATCCTCTGACAGAAGATGGAGTCATAACCAGGACCCTTGCCAGAGTCACCTACTGTTTCTACATAAAATGTAAAGGGCATTGCTACCTTTATATGTGAAGTGGCAACACACAAAACAGATACTGGTGGGGGGGGAGGGTTACCTGCGGGCTCAGTCAGTTAGGCATCCAACTTCAGCTCAGGTCATGATCTCACAGTCCAGTCTGTGGGTTCAAGCCCTGCATGAGGCTCTGGGCTGACAACTCAGAGCCTGGAGCCTGTTTCAGATTCTGTGTGTCTCTCTCTCTGACCCTCTCCCACTCACACTCCATCTGTCTCTCTTTCTCTTACAAAAATAAGTATTTTTCGAAAAATTAAAAAAAAGATACTGGGATCATCAGTAGAGTGGGCAAAATTCTCTTTGATCATCCTTGCTGCCTCTCAAAAAGGTTTTAGAATCCAAATCAACATTTTCCCTCTCCTAAAAGTCAAAGAATCAGGGCTCCTTCGGGGGTTTAGGTGGCTGGGCATCTGACTCTTGATTTCGGCTCAGGTCATGATTCCAGGGTCATGGGATTGAGCCCATGTCAGGCTCCACACTGAGTATGGAGACTGCTTAAGATTCTCTCTCCTCCCTATGAAAAACACCCAGTGCTCCTCACAAGTGTCTTCCTTAATGCTCCTCACCCATTTAGCCCATCTCCCCTCCCACAACCTCTCCAGCAACCCTCTGTTTATTCTCTGTATTTAAGAGTCTCTTATGTTTGTCCCCTCAAAGAGTTTAAAGTAGTGATTCTCAAATTGTGGGGCACATTCCTAGGATAAGAGGTGATATTACATAATATACAATATTAAATGACACTGAATCACACTAAAAAAAAAAAAAAAATTCTCTCTCCTCCTCTCTCTCTGCCCCTCTCCTGCTCACCCACTGTCTCTCAAAAAAAAAAAAAATATATATATATATATATATATATATACAGTTTACAGAAAAAGGACATCTATCTTATATTCAAAGAGAACATGTATGTTCATGTGGTATAAGAAAAGCTCACATTTACTGAGAACTTACTTTGTGCCAAGCACTCTACCAAGTTCTTCACGTGCTTTATCTCAATCCCCCCAACATTCTATGTGGTGACGTGCCAGCCCAGGTTGGAGAACACCCCACCGACTCCCCCAGGCCCAGGTGTGGCAGCTTGCCTTGCTGACCGAAAGACCACCCAACCCTGGCTGCCACACCATCCTTGCCTCTGCCACAGACTAAGGAGCCTCTGTGCACAGTGTCCACGATGCAGAAAGACCACCACACCTACGTACCCAGCAGACCATTTGGAGCCATAGAATCTCTGGCATTCCCAGTGGCAGCCAAGAAAGCGGGAATAGGAAGTACAATAGGAAAATCTGAGGGCATTAACCCCCGGGGGTAGAGTCTAGCCCCTGAGAGACAGAAAAGGGCCTTTCGTCCACCCACCTCCAACCAAGGCCCCCATAAAGAAATGGATTCAAGCTCCTTGAGAGCTTCTCCAGGTCTCTAAATGCCTCATTCTCATCAGTCTTTATAAAACAGATTCCTTTCTTTTCCCCAGGGATGTGATGAAAAGCAAATGAAATAATGCAGTTACAGCCTCTCTGGAGATGCCCCATAGAAACAGCTGGGCAGCCACCTTGGACTGTGGCTGCTCCGTGATGTACCACCTTGCACTGTGTGCCGTCCTTCCCCCCATCTCTTACTCTTACATTCCTAGGATGGCTCCCACACTTTGTTCAAATACTACCTCTACAGAAAGGCCCTCCCAGACGACCCATACCTATCCAAAAGCTCTCTAGTTTCTCAGTGATTTGGCACTACACTGTGTATTTCTTTATTTCCTTATCATCTGTCTCCCCCGCTATACTGCAGTTCTATAAAAACGGGGACTTTGTTGTGTTCACTGTTATATACCCAGAATCTGGTACCAGGCTAATATGTAGCAGCAGATCAAGGTATGTTAGCTGAATGATTATTGGAGATCTATACTTCTACATTTCTTATTTCAAGAAATAGATGGATGGGGCCGGCAGGAGACAGGAATTTTCTCACAATATATAAGACACTGTGGAGTAGAGATGGCGTCATCCAGAGCCAGCATCACAAACTGGCTGAATTGATTTTCCCAGGGCCACCTGCCAACCTCCCTGACTCATAGTAGTTGTTAACTCCCTTTGTCTTCTCACCTCCTTCCATAGTTTTTCCCAAGGCCATCTGATCCACAGCTGATCATGCAGCCACACAATGACAGTGGGTGGGACCTTCCCATCCCAGACAGCAGCCCACCACTCAGAGACCCACTCAAGCTAACATGTTCCACTTCAGATCCCTATCTAAGCCAATCTATAGATCTGTTAATTCCTCCCAAGGGATGGGGATCATAAAATGGAAACTTACTCGGCATTCACGGCAGCTCTTAGTTAAAATCCGCTGGCCTTCTGCAAGGACTTTTCCTCCATAGATACATTTTGCTGTAACCAAAACAGAAAAATGGATCAGTCAGACTATGCAACAAATTGACCTCAGAGGAGCCACCCAACGTCAATAGATTCCACAGAACACAGATTCTCTGATTCTAAGCAATAGGAATAGGAATCTGTTTCTCTGGAATAAGTCACGAGAAGACTGAGAGGACAACTACTGAGTCCCCATCAGATTGCCATCTTCATTACATTTGCTGTAAGTCCATCAAACTAAGGATATACAATATGAGTGGCTGTCATATCACCATGGAGGACAAAAGCAGATTTAATTCATACCCTCCAGCCATAAACAAGTGGGTAAAAGGAGTCTCATGCTCCATTCATCAGAACCTCAGCCACCATGTGATCACATTGTGATCATGGGAAACGCATGTCCTCACACTCTATGTTCCTATGAAGTTCAGAAACCATTGAGAAATACAAGCCTAACAGTAAAGTATTTATCAATGCACTAGAGAGACTGCCTTTGGAAAGGTGAGCTTTATAGGCCACTAGGGAGGGCATGGAATACAGACAGGCTCTGTAGTAAAGTTAAAAGCATAAATAGAACTCCCACCATTCACTTTAGATTCCCCTGGGACTCAGTCCTCAACTCAACTTGCTGACCCACCTTTAAGCGAGTACAGAATATGTTACTTTGATCTGACCCTAATGTGTCTCCACCCAGTTCTCAAGCCACATCAAACTTTTCCAGGAACAGGAAAGCAAAGGCTGGGTGACTCCCTCCTCCTGCGCAGAGGAGGATCCTTCTACCCTAGTCCTCAGGAGAGGCGTAAGTGAAAACATGCACTCTAAGACTTCTCTACTACTCACTGTTTAAAAAACAAAAAACAAAAACAAAACAAAACAAAAAAACCCACTTCACCTCTCATAGTCTCCATTGTTGCATCTGTTAAAAACAGGTTAACTCAATTTGGTAGTTTCTTAGTTCTACAATCTGCCAACTCTCATGGAATGTTCCAGTATATACACACCTTTGCAATCAATTTGTCAATTCCTCTTATTAGCCACATGAAGAGGAAAGCCCAGAGATTTGGTTATACTTATCATCATGATCCTGTAGTGGATGCTGTGATATGCTACCCAGATACCCCTCATTCCTTGATTGCCAAAGGACTCATTCCTGCAGCTGCTGGGGCAATTGATGACCAAGAGCTCAACTAAGTAGTTATCCACAACTTGCCCTTGGTTTAAAGGAGCCACCTTATCTTAAGTCAAATGTTCTTCCTAGGGCAGCCCACATACAATGCGTGGTTGAAGGCAGGACAAAGTTCTGGCCCCTGGCCCCAACTAGAAATCTCTCTGAAAGGTCATTCTGGCAAATTCTGGTTCCTTCACTATCTCACTCCTACCCCCGAACAGATCGTGACAGAAGTTCCTAATAAAGGACATGCATTCTCCATATCAGAGTCTGCTTCCTATTGGAACCTGACCTTCAACAAGCCACACCTACCTTGAAACTGTTCTAGTCTAGTATCTCCTTTTTGTGAATGGCACTATTATCTACCCCAGCTCTCACACCCTACCACCTGGGGATCCTTCTAACCTCTCTTAATTGCAAATATTTTGTTAACTGCAAATATGAGGTTGTGCTTTAAAAACCACTATGGATCACGAAATGCCCTCAGAATACAGTCCAAACTCCTTAATTCAGCAAACAAAGCCATTCACATAGCTCTTCCTTATTTCTCAAGCTCCACAGCTCATCAATTTCTCTGCATTTACTCACTCTCTTAAACATTCAACCTCCACATATGCCCCAGCTGTGCTTTTCCTTTGCTTCTGCACATAACTATTCTCCAGGAATAGGCAGCCTCATCCACCTCCCCCGGCAAACCCCCATCCTCTATACCCATCAGTTGTAACATGGGCCTGACTTCCATCACAAAGCTGTCCTTGACTTCCAACACTAGTGAACTGCCCTCACTTTGCACTTGTGTTGTTCTCTGGACCCAGCTCCACCAGAGCACACCTCACATTTTCTCTTAGTTGCCCAATTCATTACACACATCTCCTGCTAGCTAAAACCTCCATGATGGCCTATGTCTATTTCATCATTTTATCTCCAGCCTCAAGCTCAGTGCCTCTCTGGGCTTATTGTTAATAACAACAAATAATTTTAGAATTAACGTGCTTATAATTGATAGCGAAAACCAGTCAGCATTTCTGATGCCCAAATAAGAATCCTTTCTGCTATTCAATGCCCTTCCATACATTAAAAGCAGATACAAAAGCTCTGCTTTTGTTCCAGAACAAAAACAAAAAATAGAGAGTTTTCTAGATCAGCCTCTCTTCCCTTCCTTCAAAGAGAAAAAGTTATCCACAACCATCTTTTATGCCTCAATTTTCCTCATCAATCAGGTGACCATGACTCACTGGTCCCAACGATGACGTGGATTCCCCCAAATACCTGCATAGGGAGACCAGACATCCACCAAACGCCTGGAATTCCTGTCCAGTTAACTCCCCCACTCCCACACGCAGCTGCTGCTGGCCTGGCAACAGGACTCATTTCAGAGTGACAGTTCTGCTAAATGCACTGCTGTCAGATCTGCCATCTGCTTCTTGGCCCAGGCTGGGGAGCAAAGAAATGGACTTTTCTTCCTCATGTTGCCCCTTGCCCCCCACACAATGATGGGAGCACACTTGCTCTTTAAGAAATTTGCCTGATTCCTCTCCTCTGGCAGGAGTTCTGAGCTGCGTCTGTCTGGAGATAGGAGTATGTTACTGTTTACAGTCATGCCACACACACGGACATATCCATCCCTCAAATTCACCAGTCCCGTGTAAACATTAAACGTCCACTAAACTTTATGTCCTCGCACAGCAGGGCGCTTTCGGGGCTACGAACGATATCAACGTGATGCTGCAAGCCTCAGCCATTTGCGGCTCTGGCACTGGTCAGGATGTGTGTAGGATTACAGCATCAACTGTCGGGGAAATTATCTTAGGACAGCTTTCGGGATCACCACAGGAGGTCACAAGAATCCCCCCTGCCTTCCAACACTCACCCCCATTTCTCCAACAGTACCCCTCCTTCTCTGTCACTGCCCTCCATACACCTGACATCAATCCTCATTATCCAACCTCTTGATCTATAGCCGAAGGGCTTAGTTTTGATGTCTGAGGAAATTCAGGCAGAAGGTGAGTCAGGCTCCGGTGCCTTTGGCTGGGGTATTTGGGACTCTGTTCCAACAGCTTTTGGTATGAGTAGAAATGTAAATGGATACCTGAAGTCCTTCATATCACACCGGGGACATGCAAACTATGATATTTCACAGTGTATGACCATGAAATTGAAACCTGGCACAAACTCACATTTCTCTGTGATGTCAGAAACAAATGTACTGGGAACTGAGAGAAACAGTTATTCAATAGTATCTTTTTGCACCTGCAGAAGCTGGGCCCTTCAAATTTGAACCTCTTTCTCCAGTGCGATGACTGGATACTTTTGCCATTTGGGTGCACACTGAATAAACAATGGACAGGTGGGCCTTGGCACCCCTCTCCGATATTGAATTAGGTTGCTCTGTCTTTATGTAGGTATTTGTACCCTGTACACACTCCAGCCATCCGTTGGCAGTCCTTGGGTTCGAATACCAACATCAGCATTCTGTATTGCACTTTACAGGAGACTGGCTGAATACCAGGCTGAAAGGCTGAATCCCCAAGAATCCTTCCTGCCTCACTGAGTTCATTCGCAGACCTGGCTTCAGATACCACCACTCTGAGCAAGATGCCCACATCACACGGGCTGTCCCCCAGGCATCTCCCACTCACACATGCCCAAAACAGAATGTATCACTCACTGAACTACTCCTTCCACCTGCTTTACTTCTGTTATTCACACTATGAGCCTCCTATGGGCTCTTGTTCAAAACCTGGCAACCGCCCCCTTACAGATGCTCTGTCCCTGATTCATTGCTCTCATAGGAAAAAAGTGAATAAAAGTTATAGAGTACCTACTGTGTCCCCAGTCTTTTGGCCACCACTTACATGCATCTCTTCCTTTTCATCCCCCCAGGCAGTGCCTGCCTATCGGTCTTATCAACTCTACCTGGAATATGCGTGGATCCCTTGCCCAGATGCCCTGCTTCCAGCTCTCCTGATGCGGAGGCCTTTGTAAATCACCTTGATTGTGCCGCAACCTTGCCTTCAAACCTTGCTTTCGACTACAGAAACCAACGCAACGTCTGCTTCCTTGAGTGTGCACACACGGTTCTCTTTGTTAGGTGTGTTCTCACCCTTCTGTATACAGAACAAACTCCCATTTGATAAGACCCTCCTCAGCTGTTACTTACCCTGTGAAGGTTTTCTGACACACACACATTTCTGATGGAGTCATAGCTCCCCTCTCTGTGCTACCTCTGCTTCTTGCACAGTGTGCATGTTACACAATACTCCGTCATAATGACATGGCACCTACATTTCCCTGGACACAAGTGGAGAAGAGATGGGTTAAGAGCATCCATCAGCTCTGGAGCCAGAGACCACTTCGGTTTTACTTTGGCTCCAAGGCTGAGAGACCTTGGACAAGTTACTCCTCTGTGCCTCAACTCATCTATAAAATGAGGATAATTGTGGGGACTGTGACTTTGGGTCATTAGAAGGGCTCAATATACTGCCTGACACAGAATAAATGACCCCCATAGGCCCACTGTTGCCCCCGGAGGTAAGGACAGCATTGGGAAGGGAACCTCAGTAAGAATGACTGCATGAATTCAATGGAATACGATTGTCTTCACCAATCCTCAACTCAGCCTTGCAGCTTTATTTCTACTTGTCACTTATGGAAACCCTGTTATCAAACAGACTCCCTCTCCATCCTCCTTCCTCTCTCCTGTAGGACACTTCTCCAATCCATCTACCAAAAGAACAGCCTGCAGGACACCAATGTTTGGAGACTAACTTGGTAAGTCAGAGTGGGGCCCCAAGAATGAGCTCCTGCACCATTTCCTGGACCAGCACATCCACAACCGAGGCATCTACAAGGCTCTCCTGAGTCTTTCCTGCAGCCTCCAAAAGAGAACAGCACAGCATCGGGACCCAAACCTCCACTGTGAAAGCTACCTTGCTCTTGAAGAAAGCAGGAGTGTCTGAGCCTCTTGGTCAAAATGGAAGGATGAAACACTTTTTTCAAGCAATGAACTGAGACCTAAACACTGAAACACTATTTCCAAGCAGATGTTCCATCCATCAGCACTGCAGCTCCTGAGGCCATGACAACTGCACGAACACTTAGTAAGTCAACCGACAAAACTATTTGCTTTTATGTATTCAGCTTCTGTTGTCTGAGCCACATTCATACCTTTCCTCAGAGTTTCCAGAACACTGCTCCACGCAAACCCAGAGAGTAGCTTAGGAAATTCTATCTGAAAGGAACAACCAAAGTAAATATTCTCCATCCTTTTTCTCATATGCAGTATGTGAAACTTCTAGAAATTCTGTTGACTAGTGTTGGCACTCTGCTTGGTCAATCCTTATTCTGCTCTGCTCCACCCTACTGCTCAACCCACCACAGTCATTAGCTAGAAGTCTAAAAAGGTTTAGCTTGGTTCTACCTCCTCCAGGGAATAGCCTGGGTCTATTCCCACTGGCCCAAGTCCCCCCAGCACTGTCCCACAAGCCATCATTCTGTGTTCTAACAGTGCCTTGGCCACATGAGGCAGAGAGGGCTCCACTACCACTGCTTCAGGCACCGGCACTCAGGAACTGCACAATGTGTGTTTCAACTAAAACCTATGAAGAAATGGGGCACCTGGGTGGCTCAGTTGGTTAAGCATCTGACTTCAGGCTAGGTCATGATCTCACCATTCCCAAGATCAAGTCCCAGGTTAAGCTCTGTGCTGACAGCTCAAAGCCCAGATCCTGTTTCAGATTTTGTGTCTCCCTCTCTACCCCTCCCCCACTCTGGGGTCTCTCTCTCTCTCTCTCTCTCTTTCTCTCTCTCTCTCCCTCTCTCAGTAAAAAATAAACATTTAAAAAATATTTTGTAAACTATGAAGGAATGAAAACCCTCTATATCAGAGGTTCTTAACCTTTTCATTACGAGAGGTCCTTTGTGTCATTTCTTTTTGTTTTTTTTTAACTAGTGCTCATGATTTGTATTATCCTTTTGTTAAACTGATGCTGAAAAAATTAGTACTATCTAGCTAAATTGCTATGAATTCCAAACAAAAGCAAAAACAAAAAAACAAAAACAAAAACAAAAAACAAAAAAAACCCACTTCTGTTTTAGTTAGCCCACATGTCAGCATGTTGGTAAAGTTGGGTAACTTTCTATAATATTTTTCAAAATTTAAAACTCTCAAATAAATTGGAATCAAGAAAAGTGAACCCCCCATGCTTCTACTGAGGGGATAATGTGATATATATACTACATATATGAAAATGGCAGTGATTGGGCCCACTGATTCTACTCTGGAGAACTGTATCTTAATATAAAATACAAAAATGTGTTTTCTATACAGAACACATATTGGAGAGTAATTGATGACAGTGAAAAGTGGGAAATCCAGATATCCAATGATTGGGGGAATGGTTAAATACGCTGTGCAAGCAGCAGCCCAACACTGGAACACCATGAAGCGAATTAAAATCAAGTTTATACAGTGTTCTTTAAAGTACAGGGATACACTTAAGTGATAAGAGTAAGGCAATGAAGTAGGATAAGTATTCTCTGCACAGTAAGATCTCAACCACACGTGAGACAGGATGAAAAAAATGAAATCCACTGAAATTTCAAGAATGGCTATTTCCAAACAGTGGTATTATGAGATTTCTCCGTCATTTTTACTCTTCTCTGGAATTTCAAATGTTACACAATAAACACATTGCTTTTATAATTAGAAAATCAAAAGGTTAAAACACCAAACAGTCGAAGGACTCATTGACTCCCATGTGCAAACAATTTACAAGAGAATGTATTCATAGATGTATCCAAAAAACTTAAAATCATCGACTAAAAGAATGTTCTATTTTTTTAAACAAATTCCCAGTAGTTTTTCAACCTCATCCTCTGCTGACTGTTATAAAGAATATCAAGATTGAAAAAAAAATCTATACCTGTCTTTCCATCATGGGATCAAAGTATCATCTCAACATCTCAGCACTTAAGCTACCAGAACTGCCGGATTGGACCCCCACAAGTGTTTGAAACAAAGAAGAAAGTTTCTCTTTTTAGATCAACTCCAAGTACCACCCTCCAGAGTCACAGGCATACTGTGCCAAAGAGGAAGAATATTCCAAAGTCCCTTTTGAAAAAGTGCAGGAAAGGTATGGGCTGGTGTAACCAAACCAACTCTCCCCACCTCCACTGTCCTATTAGGAAGCAGGCTGTTCTTGGCAAAAAGCGAGACCGCTGTGTTTTGAAGACCCATGATACTGGTATTTTCTGTAGAGGAACTACCTTGAATGTTATCCATAGGAGGCCACATTTCTAATCTAAATTCTTGCTACAGAAGCCCCTATGGTTTGATGAAAAGAAAATGGGCCTTTACTCAGGCACTAGTAGTTTCATATTTCACCTCTGTCACTTACCAAGCTTCCAACCTTGGTAAGTTAACTTCCCTAAGCTTCCTGTAAAACAGGGATAATGTTTCTCACTCAAAAAGACTGCAGTAAGGAGTCAATAAGCTAATAGAATTGAAGCATCTACAAAGGAACTGGCGCATACCAAGCATTCTACATGACAGATCCTACTTTTGCTGCTGGTCTCCAGGCTCATTTCACTATTTCATCTGAAATAAGTGACCTTTGGGAAAGTGAAGATTTTTTAAATCCTATGAACTTGGACAAATCAACTTTGAAGAACTCTATTTCAATATTTTAACTGAAGTTGATCCCAAAATTCCTAACAAAGGCCTTTTAGTAACAGGAAATCTGGCCAAGACCTCAGAAAGCCTAAATATAGAATCTGGCCCTGAACTTCATCATTCAGACTAAGAGAGACCAGGGGCACCTGTGTGGTTCAGTTGGTTAAGCATCTGACTTAGCTGAAGTCATGATCTCACATATCATAGGCTCAAGCGCTGTGTCAGGCTCTATGCTAACAGCTCAGAGACTGGAGCCTGTTTTGAATTCTGTGTCTCCCTCTCTCTCTGCCCCTCCCCCACTCATGCTCTGTCTCTCTTTCAAATATAAATAAAATTTTCAAAAATTAAAAAGAAAATGAGAGAGACCAAAGGGTGTGAAGCTTTGGAGTTGTAACTTTATAGATTAACACAGCGAATTACCAGTTGTTTGACCCTGGACAAGTACTTAAACTTAGTCCCTTCAAACACCAGTTCCTTCCACAGAGAATGGGAGGAATAGTAATTAGAGTTGATATGAGGAGTAAAAAAGAAAAAAAGCCTATGTAAAGTATCTGCACATCACAGGTGATTAAAACATAGAAGCTCCTCTGGTCACACATGTAATTCAATTTGGGGTACTTCATCTGATCAGTGTTCATCAGCAGGGGCCTGAAAATTAAGGGGGAAAAAAACCTCAAAGCACAGAGGACCACTCAGACCCTCAATCAGTACTTACGTCGGCAGACCTTACAACACTGGCCGGCAATGTGCACAGGGAGGGAGTCTGGGGAGCAACTGACAGGGGGACAGGACATCCTTCGACATTCGACAGCACCACTCTGAGGAAGGAAGGACAAGGAAAGGAATCTCAGAAGTGCCCTTTCAAAGTTCCCTTTGCAGAAGCAGGTCACATCTCATCCCAGAAACCTCATCAGGGAAAAGGAAGCAGTGTGAGGAATTCCTGGTCTACTCCAGGATCACAAATGAAGTATTTTCTCCAGCCCAAATGAATCTGTGCCACCTCAATTACTTTTCTGATATACATCACTGGCTTCATTCCACCTGCCCTTGTGGGCTAAGCAGATTAGGCAGAAAACAAAAGCCTATTTTTATAAGAACATAAACAACACCTTTTGCAGACCCTGTCAATCACTGTTGAGGTTTTAACAATCCATTATGTATTTTCCCAAACAATGGCATTCTTCAGATATTTATCAAATAATTTCAACTGCACAGAGTTTACATACGAATTTGGGGGGTACTCATGAATTCTCTGAAACAGATGGAGTATACAAGTGACAGATACCCTGAAAGTCAGGGCAGTCTCACAAGTCTCTGAAACAGATGAAGGACACCTTGTAAAATAGAATAAAAACATCCAGAAACTAATTGTACCCTCCTCGTCAATTTTTTTCTAGCACAGAAAAGTTGTGAATGAGGCTAACAGCTAGGTTGGCCTGAAAATCAGAGTCCCGTCCTCCCTTTGATACTCTAAGCCTCAAACTCCACCCAGTAAGTTCGTTAATAACAACAATACATCGTATTAGACTGTGTTGTCAAATAGAAGCACACTTTGATTTCCAAGTATTTATATAGGACATGACGCTTTTCCAGGTTCCGTTCATAACTGTTCAGATTGCTAAGTAGAAGCTTAGAAAAAAGAGCATACATATTTCTCAGAGCTGGCGTTGTATGTTACAAGACCAGATTATACAATCACTAGTGTTTTCACTGCCCCCTTAAAGCAGTAGATATTTACAAAGAGGCTTACTTTGCATGTACAGTTCCTGCAGTGATCGCCATCAACCCAGGAGTCTTGGTCTCTATAGAGAAGTCCACTCACTTGACAGGTCTTCTCACAATGACAGTTTTCCAATTGACTAAGTCTCGTCTCTGCGTAATTTAACTGCAAAGAAGAGTTACTTGGTATAATTTCCTTAATTCGGTTGTATGGTCCTAACAAAGCTAATAGCAAAAAGAAAAAAACAAGCCAAGCAGGAGAAAGAAAAGCTCAGAGCAGCTGACTTCCGCTTAGCCAGTTTTTTTATTTTTTTAAAACATGAGGTGGAATCATTCTAAATTGAAGACATATTGGCTCCTATGGTCTGACGAGCACCAAATGAGACATTAAACTGTATCTCAGGGACCTCACGGGTGTACATAAACATGTGTGCTTTCAGCTCGAGCCCACACAGAAGCACTCATACTGAATGTAGTCTCAAGGACTCATTATAATGTTTACAGGAGATCTAATCAGAAACTTCGATGCACTTACATGTATCTCCCATCAGTTTCTCTCTGTTCACATACTAGAGTGCCAGAGTTTTTAGGCTGGGAAATCACTGCTTCCTTTCTTATGAAAAATTACTGGGAGTTGGGGCCAGGAAAAGAGAACTTCATACAAGGATCTAGCTTCTCTCCAGGCCAGGATCCTCCAGAACGAATACCCAAGGAATGCACTTTGGTGTTCCAAGGTGAAGACAGGCAACTGAACTCCCAGGTGAGATTGGGATTCTGCAGAAAAGCTGTCCATTTTCCTAGGTCACCCAACTATTACTAACAATCACAGAATCTTAGCATCTCTGAGCTGAAAACAGTTTTCAAGCTTGAATGTGGTGACAAGTAACCCCTTGCAATGACTCACCAGTCTCTCTATGCGCACCCACGGTGGCAGGGCGTTATCTTTCAAAACCCTTTTCTGGTTAGCTCTGGATGCTTGAAACATCCTTTCTTGGTACGAGCTGTGAAATGTCTCCTCGCTTTTTCTGTTTGACCTAGTTTTGCTTTGTGACTTGTCCTAAGCAATCTACTCCCTTCAAACGTGTGAGGCTATCCAGTCTCCAAACCTGCTCTGGGCCACATGCAGCACCACCAGGTTCATTGAAGAGCCCATCATGAGAAGGGTATGATCCTCTCTCCTGATCACTTCCCATGCAGCCCACACCAGGTGCCTTCAGACATAGAGTACGAAAAAAATTAAACTTTGGTATAATCTCAAGTGTGTAACTCAAGTGTAACTCAAACCGGGAGCAATACTACCATTTTCCCCTGTTCTTTAGAGAATGCCTGGATTGCAAAACAAACACTACTTCCTAAAAATTCAAGTAGTTTCTCTTTTCCTTCTCAACCACACTTATACCCCCATGTCTTGGGTACTTTCCCCATTAGGAGATCATGCCTATCTCTGATCCAAGTAAGACCATTTCAAGCCAGTATTTTAGATATCATGGTTGAACCTTGGTAATGATGACTCCCAACATCTTTCTGTATTAACTAGGATTCCATTCCATACAAGCTCCTCTCATTTACTCCTACCAGCACTACTGAGCTCTACTCTCTACAAGCGGAATCTAAATGCAATTCCAAACTTGGTTTTTGTCATTTATTTCATTCTCCTCCTCCGAAATGTTAGAAACTCTCAAGAAAACTGGTTCCTCATCTGCCTTTTATGGGCAGTACCAATGGGCAGGAGAAAAGCAAATAGGATGCTAGACAATTCACATGCACCAAAATCATCCCTGAAGAAACAGAGTTAACTATGCCTGGAATATTAGCTTCCTATGATCCCTCCAGGACACACAATCTTTGAAAAACTTAGAATACATTTAAATCTACAACCCGAGTTTCTACAATCTATCATAATTAAGCTCTTTGGGAATTCTTTAGGAAACACATTAAATACACTTCTTAGAGTTTCTTAAAAAGGTGAGGTCAATTGAGTAAAACAACATATAGGTGAGAGATAATAAGAAGTGGCAACTTATCACACAGTACCTTTACTTAATTTCTATGCCCCCCGTAATTGATTGATGGATGACTCTGGGTTGAAAAAGAGTTCAACTAGGCCTGCATCCTTACTAAAAGTGGCTGAAAATGACTTATCTGTGAGAAGAAATGAGCCTTACTTCCAAAAATCTTCAATAATCTATTGCCTGTATCACTCCAGGAAACTTCTTAAAGACTAAATAACCCAAAAGGCATTTCTGTGACAGCCCAAGTTTCCCGAACACCCAGGAATTTGCCTAAAGGCAGTATTACCAATTTCCCATACTATGCAACAAAACTTAGCTATGCTCACCTACAAAACTCAGTACCAAGAAAACCTCAGTTTTAATATAATGGAAACTATTCTCAGGGTGGACATGTCCCTTCTGACCTCTGTTTTTTTTTTTTTTTATCTTTTAATACATTTAGACTTTTCTGACAACACTAAAAAGCCCTAATCTCTGTAATAAGAAGAGTGCAGGAGACAGACACAAAAGCAAAGACATATTAAGGCAAAAAGCTAATTTTTCAAAGGCATTTCATATAACTTTACTTTCCTTTCCCCCACCCCTGCTAAACACTGGAATAAAGGAGAAAAACAACTCTGAATCAAGAAGTGAATTACAATTTCTGTCACTGGTATAAGCATGCTGAATTTACACAAATTCATTTTCAAAAGCTATTTCTACATTGCCTGCCATTTTCTCCAAGAATGCCTACAGATCCAAAATAGATCCAGTAGCACATCTACATCTGTATTCATTCTTACCTATGTTCATGCATTTATCTAAGCAACATGGACAGAATCATTTATTCTTAACTCTACACATTCACAGACAGACGTCAGGGACTTTTTTCACATAAGAGGTCAGTGAATGGATCTGAGTACATTCGTTGCACAGTTTTTTCTTTGAAATACTATTTATTTGGCATTTGCTATATGGAAGGGAAAAAATATTTTATTGTATTAAGCCTTCAAGCTTCACTGGAAAAAAAAATCACTATTGAGCTTCTCAAAACAATCAAAGCCTCAAAATTAAATATGTTACAAGCTGAAATGCCATTCCAAGCGCTGCTTCATTTGCATAAATAGATTTGTCAAAGATTTAAACAGAAGTAATCAAGAAATTCCCAGTCACCAGTATCTCTTCTTCCTGAGCTTGTAGGCTGAAGGCGATTCCAGGCAAGGTGGGATGCAAGAGCAAGCAAGGTCCTCACCCTGTCACAATATGCCAAGTCCAGCAATGGGGTAGCTCCAGAGGAGGCCAGGAACTGTGGTCTCTTGTGAATAGCTTAGGGAAAATGACAGAAGACGGCTTCCCTGCACCTTCTCTACCTTAAAAAAGGTTAATTTTACCAGAATGCCAGGATTTTTCAAGAGGGCTCTTCTGTACCCTGACTTGTCACCTGAAAGCGCATACAAGCTGCTCCCATGATGTGGCCCATATTCAGCAACGGTGGGGTCATTCTCAAGCACTGCCCCCCACCCCTGAAAAGAGAAAAGGAAATAGCGGGTCCTCCAGGGCAGACCACTGGGCAGACCCCTGGGCTGATCTGGTGCCTGTGTCTGTCTGCTGTGATTATAGCTACCACCCCCTGTCCTGCCTGTGCACTGGGCTTCCTCTCTGGTAGGATTCCATGGCTTCCACTAGGACTTTCTGCTGTTTTCCCAGACCTCCTGGCACCCACCTCTAGACCAGGACCCGACAGCTACTTGTGGCTTTTGCCAGGCTTTGTGACGCTAAGCCATGGCGCAAGCTGTACATTTTCTTTGGGGACCATCTTCCCCTCGTGGCTGCCTATTTCTTTCTAGGTTTAACAATACAAAATGAATTATTTACTGAATACCTATACATAAAACCAAGCCTCCAAATCTCACTTGTCTGGACTCATGGGATCTTTAGAAAATCAGAAATAATTGTCACCATTTTACTTATGGGAAATCAGCAACTGGAGAATGGTCAATGAGCCGCCAAGCTCCCTCCTTGAGAGCTGCACAGGATGCAGCGGGGAGGAGTTATGGAACAGGGCCTGCCCATTTTGGGAAGTCTTAAAGGAAACTCTTACATGAAGATGTGACCCCAACGGCCTGCATCCTCAGCTTAAGAGTAAATAAAAAGGAGACAAGGCTAGCACGAGGCTCAGAAAGAAGACCTTCCTGTTCAGACCTTGGCACAGGCAAGAGAGAAAGATCTGTAGAATCCTTCAAGAATTATTTGATGAGAATTCTCCTGGCCCATCTTGGGCTTGCAGTGTGATTCTGAGCAGCCTCTATGATCTGAAAACCTTTAAGGAGATCATGTAATGTAAGGTGGGCCTGGCATGGCTCCTGGCACACACCATGGGAACCCAGGACTCAAAATACCACAGACTTCCAAGGAAAACAATCAACTATAACCAAAAGAGTTAAGGGGCTTTGCTCTTGCTCTGACCTTCCCGCTCCAAAAGGTACTATAATATAAGCTCTATGCACATTTCTCTGCCAAGTTACCATCTGAACACACATCCCTCTCCTCCATTTGCCCACTGTTCTCCCTGATCTCTCCATTCCCAAACTCCTTCTCTCCTTTAGTCATTCCTTTTTTATATCTTCTCTTTCCAGTCCTCCCTTCTCCAACTGCATCACTTATGATGCAGCTTTCAGGATTTGAGCTTGAATCCCAGTTCTGCCATTCATGGTCTTGGGGAAAGTCACAGAACATGCCCGGAAATCAGTCTTCTCATCTGGGAAGTGGGCTAATAAATCAACCCCAGCTCACAGTACTGTTGTGAGGATTAAAGTGACAGGCAATATAAAACATTTAATCACTGTAACTAACACATAGCAAATAGTCAATAAATATTACTTAATATGACTGTCTTTCCAACTTCTTCCAAATCAGGGGTTGACACATTAGGGCCCATGAACTAAATCTGGCTCACTCCTTCTTTTCCTATGGCCTGTGAGCTAAGAACGATTTCTACATTTTTCAATGGCTATATTTTAAGTGATGAAAAAGTATATAAATAATATTTTCTATTCTGCCCCTTGGCCTGCAAAGCCTAAAATTAACTAGCTAACCCTTTACAGAAAAAGTTTACCAACTCTCCTCTTATAGATTATTATACTTTCCAAAATTCTGCAGTGAAAATAGAAGTCCTCAGCTTTCTAATTATAATTCTATTCACGGTTTGGAAGAGACAGACTTATAAATCTTCCAAAGTGCCAGAGGCGGGGTTTAGAAAGTGAGTGAAACCATTTTCTCTTTGCAATTGCCCACAATTAGATATCTTCGGCCTCACAAATGCCCATTTTACATAATACTATTTGGAGGTCAGAGCTCAACGTGGCTCCTAGATAATATATGGCTAAAAAGAGAAAAATGGCATTCCCTGCAAAAGGAAAGAACAAAAAGAAAGGGGCATTCTTGAAGCTGGGAAACCACAATCACCTGAGACTGAGTGGCATTATTTCTCGTTCCAAAAATTTGGTAGTGAGCTAAAATATAATTAACGCTATTGAGGTCAAGCTGCTCCAGATGATATAAACGCCAAGTCTCTGTATGCCACAAGCTTGTAAGGCAAATAACTGGCTGCAATTCACACTTCTACTGTATTCTGAAGTGAAAAGCTCATGCTTCAGCTCTCAAGTCTCAGGATCTCTTACAAAAGTAGAAGTATTCTGTCTCCCCTTTCCAGACACAAGAGGACTTACCCAAAAAACCTAGTTTGAAATAGAAACTGTATCTTCAGTAGCACAACCAGTGGGTCCAAAACACAGCCCTACCCTCCAAACACTTACCTACCCACCTGTTTTTTTCTGTGTGTGGTTTTTTTTTTTTTTTTTGCCCACCCTGTGCCATGGTTGATGGCTAGGAGCAGTCTTACCCGCTGGTGGAACAGGATTAATGGATCATTTTCACTGTTATTAAAATTCTTCCTTTTGCAGAGTATAATAATGTCTCTTAAGCCCAACCTAATTCTTTCTTCGCCCTAGGCCAGGACTCATGTCCATGACTGTTGTGATGGGTATCACAACAACAGCATTAGCCACATTTCCTATTTATTCAGTGCCTTTCTCCACAGGGCTCAGAGCTTTTCATTATGAATCTGAACTTTATATATTAAAGCCCATAATTATTTACATTTTTGTCTTTGCCACTCAACATGAACAGCTTCTGGGGTAGAAATAATGCCTTATTCATTACTGCCTCCTTTGTGCCTGACACACCACCCAGCAAATAACAGATCCTTGAAGGATGCTTGTTAAGGGAGTGATCCATTCCAAACATTCACAATTATAAAAGTGCAAACTGCCTCCTCCATTATGTAACCCGGGACCACTCCTGAAATGAATCACATCTTAGAAATGTGATATAATGCCTTCTTGTGACAATAATCTGTTTCTAACAATGGCTATTTTGCCCCTTCTGATTATTGGCAATTATTCTTACATCCAAAATGCATTAGCTTATGATCAGCAGTGCCTCTGACCATATATCATCTCACTATGTTACTAGTTTAACGGCCAGTGGGAAAATTCCTTTTCTCCCAGAGAGTCTACAGTGATACACATGGCCTCTTTCTTCCAAACATTCTTCATGTAAACATCTTGATACAGCCTAATAGTATCAGAGAGGTAAAGGGTTATGTTTACTATAGGTAGCCCTATTTCAAGTAAGAATAAACCATTTTCACAGTAACATATTGCAGATGCCGAGGCTAAAAATGTTTCCATTATAGCACTTCACTGAAAATTCCAGATAGGATGGAGAAAGAAATGCAACATCACAAGTGAAATTTAGATACCTACTTTTGCAGTCATCTTGGCCAAAAGCTCTTGCAAATCCATTATTCCTTGCACCAGGCTTAAGAAATCACTGCAAGTTGGACAAGCTCAATAGAGAAAATATAAGAAATGTTGATACAGTGCTAATGCAATAAAGAAATTTTTACAACAGTAGTTGCTTGGCTATGTCCAAGGCTTTTTGTTTTTCTGGTTAAGTAGGACATTGCAAGTGGAGTGAAATCACCCAGGATTTCAGGTCTATGCCTTTTCCTTTTATTAACAAGAGGAAAGAAAGGAATAGGAAAAAAGAACTGTTAACTGAAAAGGCAAGGGGACATTTTTAAATTAAAATTAAGCCCTTGTTTTTAATAGAGACATGACTGAAAAAAAAATGTGAATTATTATAAAAGTGGAGAAAGTAAACTCACATCTAAGCCAAGCTATTTAAAATCACTGTTTACTATATATACAGTCATACTATACCCACCTTCCTCAATCTACAGAACCCAAACTGCCAATGAAGTCTTTTTCTTACCTTCAAATGGTAACTCTATCAACACATCAGCTTTTTTGAAACTTCAAAGACCCAGAAGTATATCGTATAGATAGTAACTTACCTCCCTATTCCCACTGCCTCAGAAGTCAACAATTTTTATACTTTGGGTGACATGTTTATTATCAGTAAGTTATATAATATTAAGAACTCATAAGTGCTTCAAGTTGCTACTTACTGCGATTCAGGTTCGGACATTGAGTTATGTATCCATTTGGCATAAAGATGATCTTCCCATCTTGGATGATTCCCTTGATAACAGAAAAGAGAGGTGATGATGAAGATTATAGTTACCAGTTGGAATGGCCACTGTGCCATCACATGCTCTCTGCAGGGCACAGGATTTTTTTTTTTTTTTTTTTTTTTTACAACACTGGTATCTTTATTCAAAATTAAGTCTGCCTTAGTCCACAATGAACTACTAATCCAAGCCATCCTCTTCCAAGCATCTTGAAATGTACATTCACCTTGAGAAAGCTGTCATTAGTTGCCATGGATTGTTGCTAATGACATTGCAACACTAAGGATCTACTAGTGAATGTTCTTAAAACTAGTGGACCAGGGCACTTGGGTGGCCCAGTCTGTTAAGCACCCAACTCTTGATTTTGGTTCAGGTCATGATCTCATTGTTCATGGGATCCAGCCTCAGGTCAAGCTCTGCACTCACAATACTGGGCCTGTTTGGGACATTCTCTCTCTCTCTCTCTCTCTCTCTCTCTCTCTCTCACTCCCCCCCCTCCTCCACTCACTCTATCAAAATAAATAAAACATTAAAAACTAGTGAACCAAAAAGGCACTGATGCAATAAAAATTCCTCTAATACCTTAATCATTCTGGAGCATTAAATTTTACTGACTTGGAGGATTTTTCAAGCAGCAGTGAAGAAACAATAGAAATATATCAGACTAAACGTTTTTATCAATTTATTTAATCAAGGAAAGAAAATTAGACATGGAAAGAATTGCTTAACAATACTTGTTCTCTGCTGATTGAGTACTATGATTTTTTGGTGGCGAATCTTAAAACTTGCTCAACATCTCACTGTGAGTAAAAGGTGGCCTTTTATTTCTGTAACTTAGTTTAGGGGAACAGCCCTGATTTATGAAAGTCATTGGGGTGCCATCTTGTAATGTAAACATTGACTCGGCCTTTGGATTTTTTAAGCTGAATATCAAGATTCTGGTTTTAGGGATATTTTTTCTTCCTGATTTGATGGAAGTGATATTACAGAACAGATGGAAGATGTGGAACCCAGTTCAGAATTTGGAGATTAATCTGTAAATAAAATAAAGGCCAAGGGTGATGCTGCAAGTCTTTCAGATGGGGTTAACATTTATCTGTCCAGCTTCTAAACAGAAAGGAATTAGCAAATGCTGTTTTCTGCATACTATTTCCAGGTAAAATATGAATTGGAAACATTAACAGAAATAACAGGACCAAAGGACCTTTTCCTCAGAATTGGATACACTTGTTAACCTCTTCCCCTTCGAGGATGTTGGGCTATTTGTGATTACAAGAGGGGACAACCACCCCCTGCCACCAGGTCCTCAATACAAATTCATAGTCTCTAGCAGGGGAATTCCAGACAGCAATTGATGCAATAACGTGGAAGTCAATCAGCTTCTTCCTGGTACAAAGCTGCTCAGTTTCTCAAAGTGAACTAATGTCTCTGAGTACCCAGGACACCTTTCAAGCACATTTGAAAAATATGAGAAAAGCATGGGATTGGACTTCAGGTGACCTGGGCTCAAATTCTGGATACATCTCGAGCTGAGTGAACTTGAAACAATAAGTTAACCACCTTCTCTGAGTTTCAGTTTCTTCATCTGGGTTGGGGGGGGGAAAAAAAACCTGGCCGCAAAAACTAAAGATCCTTCCAACATCAAGTTCTCGATCAGTGAAATAGGCATCCAAACTGAAATTGTCACATTTAGGTTTCTATGCTTTCACTACCTTTCAAGTTAAACAAAAAATTAGAAAAGCGATACATTTCCATCAAGGACCATTATAGAGAATGGAATGACACATTAGACAACATCTGTTTGATTTGAATAGGTTAAATATCAATGAATTCATAGTAACCAACTATCCAGGTAGGCTCGGGATTTAGGCTCTCCCAGGACACAAGACTTCTAGTGCTAAAACAGACTCCCAGGCTCAAGGGGACAGTTGATCACCCTCGGAGATGTGGAAGTGAAGAAAGCACAAGTACCAGGAAGGATCAGGTCCATCTATTATCTACTCATCAGAAAAGACTTATCAGTCATCAAATGGCGCTGAGATACCTGGAGCATGCTTGTCACAATATTCATTACATTTCTAAAAATGAATGGAAAACCCATTTGAAAAGGATATCCCGCTACTCACTCTGTAGCAACATAACTTAGAACATACATCAGTTTTCCTTTTTTTTTTTTGAAGTGACTACAGACTTTAGTTACATTGTAAATTACAAACTGCCTCTCCCACACCTTCCTTCTGCCTGCCTCCATCATTACTTCTACCTTTCCACTTTCAACCTAAACCACACAGAGGTGTTACACAGATCATTAGGTCAAGGTCGGTGGTGTTGACTTTAACATAAACAGAAATAAAAACTGACAACTTCTCAATGCCCATTAACACCAAAACTCAAAGCACTTGGTATTTTTTTTTTCCTAAGGAAAGTTCATGAGGGTCACTCCACCTACTAGCATGGATACTTGTTCCTGCCAAATAAATCACAATGTAAATGTAACTTACTTGAATGGATTTAATTCCATGTTAGACTAACAGAAGGATGGCCATACACTATACAAATACCAACTGTAACCCAAAGAAGTATGAGCACGTGTGTATAAATGTGTATGTACGTACATGCATGGGGGGGGAGGGGGGTCCCAGCACCTTCCCCAGAACAAGAGCCAGAGTTCTTGGGCATTGAGTTGCCACATGAGCTCTCCTTGGACGTTTGCCAATAAAAGCAGCGTTTGCTAAGCATGGAGTTTTCTGTAGAGAATGAGAGGCGTTTCATAAAGTATATGCCTCTATAGAACCTCACAGATGAGGATTTCTATAGATGATAATGTGCCTTCAAGCACTGCAACTTCTTCCAAAGATGAAATAAGAATAAGCAAAAATTCTAGAAGTTCTTATTTAATTTCAAATGTATCTACACTTAACTGAAAAGATGCAACTCTAATAGGGCATATATTAGCTGACCTCACTTGCTCTCAACTTTTTCAGACCCAGGCTGTTTCACATCTGTCATGGCAGGGTTTCTCAAACTTTGAGTTTCTTAAGAATCACCTTGAGTAAACACCTTGAGTTTGAGTAATAACCTTAAGTTTACCATTCGGACTCCTGGGTCATCCCTGAAATTCTATTTCAGTAGGGTTGGAGTGGGCCCAGGAACCTTCACTGTTAAAACCTATCCAAGATGATTCAGATGAAAAGTCAAAGGCCACCCTTTGAAAAACCCTGCTCTTTTGTCAATCAGTTGTGGCTTTTCTTTTGGAGGAGGGGGAGGAACAAGAGGGTGTACTCATTAAAAGATCACAGGGGTGAAAACAGAATCCAAATCCTAATATATGAATAAAACCTCAATGATTTGGAACTGAGTAGCAACCAACAGAATTATCAGATTATAGACACCATGAAAGGAAAATAATATTTTCATCTCCGTGTCCCCTGAACTCCCTGTTGCAGTATATTCACAGAGCAGGCACATTAATATTTTAAAAGCATCAAATTCCTAAAAAAACTATTAATTATATAATATTGAGCAATATTTTCAGAGCTGGTACAGCGGTAAAGATCTTGTAGGATATCAGTTTTTAAACCAGGGGTACAAGGGCACCTGGGTGACTCAGTTAAGCATCTGACTTATGCTCAGATCATGATCTCACAGTTCGGGAGTTTGAGCCCTACATGGGGCTCTCTGCTGTCAGCACAGATCCTGCTTCAGATCATCTGTCTCCCTCTCCCTCTTCCTCTCTGCCCGTTCCCTATTCATGTTTTCTATCTCAAAAATAAATAAATAATAAACAATGGGGGGGGTGCAGGGTGCATATTAGAGTTTTAGAAATTGGGGAGGACATCATACAAATTTTGAAAAAGCTTCCGGAGTGACTTTGATAACACCCAATGAGTACTCCTGATCCAGGGCCAGATCACCTGGTCATCTGACCTATGAAAAACCTAAGGCTTTGACACTAAGTAACTTTCCTAAAGGATACCTTAATCCTTGGCCATTAACTGCATGTCTACTAACTCCAAAAGCAGTGCTAAGCCACTCCAACACGGCTTAAGGAGAAAACAGATCATTTGAGAAAGTCTCATAGTTACATGAGCTAACAAGATGTTGCTACAACAAGGTCAAAATGAGGTTCTATCTTAATTGCTTTAATGGATACTTAATAAACTGCACATAAATTATTTGCATTAGATGTAACAGTTTGCTGAAATAATGTCTCAGTGCTGGCGAACAGAGATGCTTTTAGGTAGCCTAATATCCTCCCCTGCAATCTTATTTACACTATTAATAGGCTAAACAATCCATTTTTTCATGTTACTGCAATGCTACACTTCAGCCAAGCTGAGATTCTAAATAAATCCCTAAGGTGCAAAGCTCAAATTAATAAACATTCACTATTAGTACTGATGGAAGGAGGAAAAATGAATCATCTTTTTCCTTTGTTGAATCCACCTGTTGCCACCCTCTACCCCCTGCACTCAGCTGACCACCCACTGAAAACAAAATTTGCACAAGGTAGGTTGTACATTAGGAGTTTTTGATTTGGAAACTGATGCCCATTATTTCCATTGTTCCAAGAACATTTCTCATTTCACAGTAAGAAATCTATGAAGATGTAATAAAGATTAGGCAACATGATACCATTAGGACCCTCTTCTGTATGGAATAACTAAGATTAGGCAAGCCCTTCTAACATTCAGAGCTTTCTGATACAAATACAAGCAGCTTTGCCACCAAACAAATGCTAATTTTTTTTAAAGCTCTTATTTCCCTGCAGATCTCTGTTTACATTGAAGAAAATGGTTCTCTTTTTGTATGCTAAAACACTGAAACAAATTGCTTTGAAAGGGAAAGGGGGTGGGGAGAGCTGCTGCTGGGCATGTAAATATATGGATGAAGATGTGTTCGGTTTATAAACTGGCAAGGACCCAAGCTTTGGCTGACAAAAAAAGTAAGACTTGAAAAACTCACAAGGAGGGAGGATTCTCAAAATGCAACCAATTATGTATTTCTGCC